AACCCCTCGGCACAACCCCCGGGCACAACACCTCATCAGCACAACTCCTCAGCACAACCCCTTAGCACAACCCCCACAGCACAACCCTCAGCACAACCCCCAGCACAAACCCCTCAGCCTCCAGCAAACCCCTCCAGCACAACCCCCCAGCACTAAACACCTCAGCACAACTACCTCAGCACAACCCCTCAGCACAACCCCTCAGCACGACCCTCCAGCACAATTCATCGGCACGACCCCCAGCACAAACCCTCAGCACAACCCCTCAGCACAACCCCCGAGCACAACTCCTCAGCACAACCCCTCAGCACAACCACCCCAGCACAACCGATCAGCACAACCCCTCAGCACAACCCCTCAGCACAGCCCCCAGCACAACACCTCATCACAACCCCTCAGCACAACCCCTCAGCACAACCCCCCAGCACACCCCCTCAGGACAACCCCCCGGCACAACCCCTCAGCACAACACCCCCTCCAGCACGACCCCTCAGCCACAACCCCTCAGCACAACCCCCCCACAAACCCTCAGCACAACCCCTCAGCACAACCCCTCAGCACAACCCCCCAGCACAACCCCTCAGCACAACCCCTCAGCACAACCCCCCAGCACAACCCCTCAGCACAACCCCTCAGCACACCCCCCAGCACAACCCCTCAGCACAACCCCTCAGCACAACCCCCCAGCACAACCTATCAGCACAACCCCTCAGCACAACCCCTCAGCACAACCCCCCTGCATTACCGATCAGCACAACCCCTCAGCACAACCCCTCAGCACAACCCCCCAGCACAACCCCTCAGCACAAACCCCCGGCACAACCCCTCAGCACACCCCCCCAGCACAACCCCCCAGCACAACCCCTCAGCACGACCCCTCAGCACAATCCCTGCCGGTCGCACAACCCCACAGCACATTGCCCCAGCACAACCTCTTCCGCACCTGGGGGGTAATCGCGCTGGGGGGTGGTCGTGCTGGGGATTGTGCTGGGTGGTTGTACTGGGTGGTCGTGCTGGTGGTCGTGCTGGATGGTCGTGCTGGGTGGTCGTGCTGGGTGGTCGTGCTGGGTAATCGTGCAGGGTGGTCGTGCTGGGTGGTCGTGCTGGGTGGTCGCGCTGGCTGGTCGTGCCGGGTGGTCGTGCTGGGTGGTCGTGCTGGGTGGTCGTGCTGGGTGGTCGTACTGGGGGGTGGTCGTGCCCAGGGGTCGTGCTGGGTGGTCGTGCTGGGGGGTGGTCCTGCTGGGAAGTCGTGCCGGGTGGTCGTGCTGGGTGGTCTTGCTGGGTGGTGGTTCTCGGTGGTCGTGCTGGTTGGCTGTGCCGGTGGTCGCGTGGCAACACCCGATTCGTTAAGAAATTCGGGGGCGAAAGATGGGTTTCGCACCGGGGTTAAGAAATTCACCGAAGCTGGGTCTCAATTTCTTAACCAATAATTTCTTAACACAAGTTATGAGTGTATATAACTATATATATGTGTGTGTATGAGAGAGAGAGAAGAAAAAAGAGAGAGAGAGAGAGAGACGCCCGCTGTGGCCCCCCCTTTGCTCTCACCCGTGCCACACCACCAGGTAGCGGGGGCCGTGCGCCTTCCCTCGGCGGGCGGGAGCTCGTCGTCGGGCGTCGCCGGCGGCGGCCCAAGGCGCGGGCACCCGCACGCGCGCGCGCACGCGCGCACGCGCCGACACTGTCGGGGGAGCGTAAGACCCGGGTTTGCCAGGACTCGGGTTCGCCATCGTTTTTTTACGACCGAGCCTCGGATTCTGACGAGGAGGAGTTTCGAGGGATGTCTGCAGCGGGAGGCCTCGTCAAAATGCAGGCTCGGCCTCGTCATTTTTTTGACGACCTCGTCGGGGATTTCCGAGTCCCCTGTACCCAGGTCTTACGCCCCCCTGACACTGTTCCACGGCTATTTTTTTGAGGGGCCGACGGTGCCTGGCTGCTGCCGTGCGGCACGTGCACGTGTGCTTGTCTTCCACCCCAGGCATTCCGACAGGTTTTTGTCCGCTGCCTCTCTCTCTCGCGGGCGCCAGCGAGGAGAGGGGATTGGCTCCCGGGCGGAGGCATCGCCCTCGCCATCGCTCATCCATCGCCGATCGGAGCTCGGGCGCCCCGCCTGTCCAGGGATGATGGGGTCTCGATGTTGGGGGCATGTGGCCGAGCTATCCGTAAGTTGGGCATGTCCTTCTACAGGAGGAGTATTCAACAACAGTCCAGGAATGGTCTGGGGACGATATTTGAGCTACCTTCGACGTTTTTGTTTCTTCGAGCACCCTTCGTCCAGACAGCCACCCGTAGGAGGACGTGCCCGACCTAAAGCTATCCGCAGGGTATGGCCGATTCCAGGCCGATGCCTCGCCCTGAGCCGTTTCCCTTCCCCCTTCGGCCCCCTGAGCATGTCCGACGCGGGGCGTCGTGCGAAGCTCGGCCCCTCTGCGCTGCACGCCGTCCTCTCGGTGCCGACGGGCACTCTCCAGAGGGTGCTCCGCCAGGCGCGGGCGGTACCCTGCCGCGGGCGAGCGCGCGACGTGGTGGACGACCAGCCAAGAGCGGAAAAGACACGCTGCTTCTCTCTCGCTCCCCTCCTCCCTCCTTCTCCTGCTGCGCCTCCTCGTCTGGGTCTTCCTCCTCCTCCTCCTCCTCCTCCTCCTCCTCCTCCTCCTCCTCATCATCATCATCATCATCATCATCATCATCATCCTTCCCCTCCTCCTCCTCCTCCTCCTCCTCCTCCTCCTCGCTGACGTCCGCGATGGGCTATCTCAAAGGTGTGATCTCGTGATAACAAAACAAAGCTCGATTACCAATTGTTGGAAAACGGTGCAAACAGCACAACGCAAACATGGAGCACGCGCAACAAAAAACAACAACAAAAAGTGACACAACAATGTTGATTCACATTTCCCCCGATGGAAGCACAACGGAGTCTGCGCCGACAAATGGTGCAACAACATGTGTTCCCCCAATGTGTACAATTGGGCATAGCTTTTTGTTGCGCGCTTTGTTTTTGTGTGTTTGTGTTTCTGTGCCGCGCTTTGTTTGCGAATTCTGCTTCAGGGGATCCCAGCCGTGAACTATCCTGGACGATCCTCATCCTCATCCTTCTCCCTCTCACCCTCCCTCCTATCCTTCTCTTGCTGCTCCTCCTTCTCTTTGCCTTTCTCGTCCGACTTGTCCTGCTCCTCCTGCCGCGTTTCCTCCTCGCCGTGATCCGCAACGCCTCATCACCTCGCCAGCCTCTTTAGCTTTCCTTGAGGGTGCCGAGAGGCCCAAAACAAATCAGGCGTACATATCTATAGAGAGAGAGGATGTTTGCCAGCGTGGACCCCAACCAATAACTCACTTCACTGCGGGTGTGTGAACGATGTATTGCAAGCTACGTGGCGCCAGTGCAAGTTACGTGGTGCAAGTCATGCAGTGCAAGCCATGTGGTGCAAGCACCCTTGTGCAGGTGTCAAGCATGCGTTGCAAGCTGTTCGGTGCAAGTATGTCGTGTAAGCTGTGCGGCTCCACCCGCCCCCACAAATCTCCACCTCCACCATCCACCACCACCACCACCACCACCTCCTCCTCCTCCTCCTCCTCCCTCCTCCTCCCTCCTCCTCCTCCCCTCCCTCCCCTCCTCCTCCTCCTCCTCCTCCTCCTCCTCCTCCTCCTCCTCCTCCTCCTCCGCCCGCCCCCGAGCGGCCCACGGCCGCTCCAGAAGGCACCCTCTACTCGCTGCTGTCGGTCCCCGAGTTCCGCGCGCGCAGCCACCACGCGGGCCTGGAGGGCATGCTCAGGCCGGGCGCCGAGCGGACCTGGCCGGGGCCTGCCCCCCACCCCCCCCCCCCCCCCCCTTGGGGGAGGGGCAGAGGACCTCCCCCTCCTGATCACCACCAATCTCTCCTCCCCCTCCTCCCCCTCGTCCTCCTCCTCACCCCTCCTCCTCCTCCTGCTTTTTTTTCCTCCTCCTCCTCCTCCTCCTCCCTCCTCCTCCTCCTCCTCCTCCTCCTCCCCCTCCTCTCCCCCCCTCCTCCTCCTCCTCCCCCTCCTCCCCATCAATATCTCCTCCCCCTCCTCCCAGGCGATCGCCAACATGGATCAAGGGGGCGCGGATTAGCGACGGGTCCCGATTCTGTGGGAAATCGCGGATTCCCGCCGTCGAACGAGGCGGCACCGGCCGCATTTTGGGGAGGGCACCTTCCCCGATCCATGGATTTGGCGTCCACGCGCCAAATCCATGGATCGCTAATCCATGTTTGCGCGCCCCCGATCCTCTCCTCCTCTCACCCTCCTCTTACCCATCATCACCCCCAATCCTCTCCCTCGCCACTTTGAGCACATATTGTGACACTCCTTGTGGCGTTCCTGCTCCTATTTCTCCTGCTCCTCCCCTCATCCTTCTCTTCGTTGGTTTCTCTTCCGCCAGCCTCAAGCCCTCCTGTCATGCCTCTATCTCCCTCCTCTCCCCCATCCTCCCTCCGCTTCTTTCCTCCCCTCTCAGTCCTTCTCTTCCCGCCCCATCCACCTATCTGACGCCCCCCCCCTCACAACGCCAGACGTGTCGGTAGGGCGGCCTGGTGCTTTCAGCGAGCCGGTAGGTACTCTCAACAGACGATGCTGATGTTGGAGGCTTCCGCATCTTCACGGACGGAGGGCGAGCGGTTTTCAATGTGTTGTCTTCGCCCGGGCGCCGCGCGCACTCGACTGTCGCGTTTGTGCACCGGGTGCACGGGCGGAGGGCGCACTTCGAATCTGATTCTGCGAAGAGAGGGGGGAAGGGGCTCAATGTCATGGTCAGGGAATGGGAGGGAGAGGGACGATGTGTGTCGGATGTTTCTCGGACGCGCCAATCTCGACCTCCCCGCTTTCGCCCTCCCCGCTTCCTCCGTCCTCCCCTCGAATGCGTTCACTCCTTCTCCTCCTCCTCCCTCCTCCTCCTCCTCCTCCTCCTCCTCCTCCTCCTCCTCCTCCTCCTCCTCCTCCTCCTCCTCCTCCTCCTCCTCCTCCCTCCTCCATCCTGCCCCCTGGAGCGGCAGCACAAGCAGCGGGAGGGCGCCGAGGTCCATTCACGCACAGGCCGCCAGCCTGGGGGACGAGCTGTCGACCAGGCGGGGCGCCCGACCCGCCTCACCTCCGTCTCCTCCTCCTCCTCCTCCTCCTCCTTCTCCTCCTCCGCCTCCTCCTCCTCCTGTTGCCACAGAGGAGGGTGCCAGTTGGCCTCCTGTGGCTCGTGTGGCTCGGAAGTCTAGAAGGTCACTGGGGTGAAGTTCCTGCAGGTGTAGAACGTCTGTTGGTGTCTAGGGCTTAGGCTGGTTTGCTTCACTTGGTTCCTGTTGGGTCCAGAGGGCCCCTGAGGGGGAGGAGGAGGCGGAGGCGGGGTAGAAGCATGAGGCGTCGGAGGGAGGCTCCTCGTCCTCCTCGTCCTCGCCACCCTCCTCCTCCTCCTCCTCCTCCTCCTCCTCCTCCTCCTCCTCCTCCTCCTCCTCCTCCTCCTTATCATCATCATCATCATCATCATCATCATCATCATCATCATCATCATCATCATCATCATCATCATCATCATCATCATCATCATCATCATCATCATCATCCTCCCCATCATCATAATCATCATCATCATCATCATCAGCATCATCATGATTATCATTATCTTTTTGTCAACAACAACGACGATACCATCAGCATCACCAGCAACAATATAATCATCATCAGTACCATCATCATCAACACCAGCATCATCAGCATCATCATCGTCAGCATCGTCATCCTCATTCTCATCATCATTGCCGCCACCATCATCACACCATCAGACTCATCATCACCATCATCATCATGATCCGCATTATCATCTGCACGACCGTCATCATCACCACCAGCAACATCAGCATTTCCTTCATAAACATCAGAATCATCATCGTCATCATCATCGTCGTCATCATCATTACCATCACCATTACCATCACCACCACCAGCATCATCGTCACCATCGCCATCAGCATCATAATTTGTTGCATCATCATACTCATCATGCTCATCATCGCCAGCAGCATCATCATCATGACCATCGTCATACTTATGCTCGGCATCCTTACCATCAGCATCATCATCCTAATCGTCCCCATCATATTGTCATCACCGCCATCCCTATCATCGTCATCATCACCATCATCACCCACAGCATAGTCACCAACAACAGCAACATGAT